TATTTAGAGTGTCTAAAATGATTTAAAATTTTTTTCTTACTTCATCTGGCAAAGACTGTAAGATACCCTTATGGTGTTTTGAATTGCTTTTTATATTTCTAGTAGTGTTTAGCTTTATATTTTTGATATTATGTTATTCAACCCAGGTAATAAGTATAGATTTTATCTTCTTTCATCAAAAAAATTGCTCTCTTTACCCTGGTAAATGTCTTTGGCCTAAAATTCCACTTTGTTTGATGTTAATATAACCCCAATGACCCCAGACTTCATTAGCCTGTGGGTACTAAGGATGCTCCATTAATATTAATATCCTAATTTGCTAGCTCATTAACCCCTACCTCTGTAACAGCAGGACTTTGACCTCTACTTAGGAAGTCCCTAGGCGGTACCTGCCATGTACTCTGGAATCAGTAATCTACTCTTCATCTACTCTTCATCTCTACTGGCTGCTCTCTGAAGACAGACTCTGGGCTTCTGTTAGCTTTTCCTGCTGCTGCTGCTGCTGCTGCCATGTATGACTGGCCTCTAAACCAGAGACATTCGGTCCTCATGGTGCCATAACAGTGAGACCATCTTCTGTGAAATCAGATGGGAAATCTCTTTAGAGGGGTTTCTCCATGAAGGTGCCTTATTGGGGGAATCGATGAGACCACTACTCTAAGTAACATTCAGCTTTTCTTTTTTTTCCAAGACACAGAGTCGTTGAAAGAAATTTGAATAACAATTCCTTAACTCAATACAAACGCTTCTCTCTAAACTCCAGGCCCACTGTGTATTCTGGTTCAGCATGCTAAACTCCCTTTTGGCACAGAGGACTATTCTCTCAAGGACTTCGCCTCCTTGTAATCTAGATTCTTTTGAAATACATTCTTTCACATTTTGAGAGACCAGTCTATAAAATAAGGCTTTCATTTTTAGAGCACTCCTTATTTTGCAAGGCATATTGTAAACGATCTTATTTAAACCCCGTGGCAACTCTCTGACACAGGAGCTGTTGTTATTCCCATTTTGCAGATGTGAAAGCTAAAGACAAAGAGGTTAGGTAACTTTTCCACAAAGTGCAAGCTATTACTGTAGCCACCAATCTTTCACACTACCACTTCCTCAGTCTTGCGATATTTATTTCATTCATCTTTCCAGTGACTGAAATAGGTCATCAAGTACATTTTTCATGAAAAGTACTTTAGGTTTTCTAGTTTCTGAGTCTTTTAAATAGAGTTTCTATATAATGTCTTCACTGTACCATTACTCATGAATGACAGTATCGGGCCATTCTTTTTCTCTCCCCGTAAACTTGAAGTGTAGCATAATGTATAAGCCTTTAAGGATCACCAGAGTTATTTCCTTAAACTGCAGATTCCTGATAGGAATTCATATAATTCTGATGTAGATGGTTTGTGGACCAGACTTTGAAAACCACTGCATGGTGGTTAGCACTGCAGTCTGACATCAAACAGACTATTCCTATCTCTGCTCTATTTCTTACTAATTTTGTGACAGTGAACATATTTCTTAATCTCTCTAAGCCTCAGTTTACCCATCTGTAGAATGTGACTAGTGATAATGTTTATGTCTTATAGTTGCATTGAGGATTAAATGAAATAAGGCCTATAAATATGCAGCATGGTTCTGGAAAGTAAGTAACTGACAAATGTTTGCTTTTTTCGTAATAAATATTGTTAACTGCCATCCCATTATTTATCTTTACATGTTGTAAAAAATAACGATATAGCTCTCATTCTTTTTCTTTAGATTTTTCCTGACTGTTTTTCTACTTGGGCTTTGGGAGAAGTACATCTTTATTTCTCAAATTAAAAAAAAAGTGTAGATGTGAGATGTTTTGTCTTTTAATTAGTTTTTCTGGTTCGTAATAGCCCCTTGTGACCTCTCTCTTCAGTTGGAAGTTTTTCTATTTTGTTTTCCAATAATTTTTATGCTCTGAGAATTAATTTTTCAACTATTTCTCTATATTCTTAGAAAACTTCAAAAGCATGCATGTTACATTGTCAATTTGATAAAGGTAATGTCAACTACCTTTGTAATTAGAAATTAGTAATTAGAAATTAGAAATTACTATTTTAATGCCATTTAAATTATAAGGTTATTAATTTATTCAATTCTATTATTTGATTTAACAGATCTAAATTTTCGGTCGTCTCACTTTTCTTCTTTTCTTTGATAGAATTGACATTTTCTTGAATTTATTTAAGATTTAAAAACAGCAGAAATCTAAATTTATGTTCCCTGTAGTAAATAGTTTGCCCTGGAGAGAATAAGGAGATAGACTGTTCTTGGAATTGTGAAAGTACGAATTATGATTTTTTAGCTTAGATGTCTAAGACGATGAAATCTGGAAGAGCAGAGATGGGGCACAGTGGAAATAAAGATTTTGAATGTACTGAGCTTTGGCTATATATGTGAAATCCAAACAGAGCTGCCTAACAGACAACTGGATATTCAGATCTGGATTTTGGGTAACAAAATCCAGAGATAAGTGTCTGGAGACAAGTGTTTCAGATATTGCTATACATTTGATAATAAGAGCAAGGGAAATCAACTAGAGAGAAGGTATAGAGTGACATGAACCAGACTGAGAGTGGAATGCTGGAGAACAACTGCATTTCAATAATGAGTTGAAGGATGGACAATATCCAGTGGCCTATGAAAAGAGTGGCTAAAGAAGCAGAGAGGAAAGAATTCAGGAGGGAAGACTGAAAGAGGACTGATCAGTGACAAATGCTGCAGAGGCCAAGTAGTATGAGAACTTGGAGGAAGTGACAGGATTTGTGAAATAAAATGTAGAAGAGTGGGTGACGCAACACTATAATGAATTTTTGTAACACAGGAGAGGCAGAAAATAGCAATAAGTTTAGGTTATACCTTCAATAGGTTTCTTTATGTACAAAAGAAGAGAGACAAAAATGAGAGAGATCAGACATGAATCTGCATTAAAGATCAGGAGCCAGTTGAAATGAAGAAGCTGGAGACACAGGTAGATGAGAATAATTAACGGAGGGAAGATCAAAGGATATAAGAAAGAATGGGGATAAAGCACAGGTGGAGGTAGGTGTTATTCTTGGATAGAAGAGACTTCTGAGGTTAGACAGGAGGCAGAAGTACAATGTGGACTCGAGATTTGTTGGAGAACAGAGGTGGCATGTTAGAAATATCTGTGTGAGAGTGCGTCAGAGGATTTAAAGAACATTATAGAAAAGTTGTATTAATTCTACTAACTAATGCTGACATTAAAGAATGTCAAAGTGTTTTGAGTGTCCATATCATATTAACAATAACGAATTTGTAATACAACCAATCAATCTACACAGCTGTGTCCATCTTTTTCTAGAAGCATTTAGTATCTTGGATACCCTGGCATATTATTTGCAGGGAAGGCATGCCAGAGAAGAGTTAAAAGAACTAGATCAATACCAAAAAGGATTTGATGTCTTGACCCCCTAACCTATCCAGTTCCACTTCCATTGACAGTGTCACTGGGTGTTGGTCATTGACCGCTGCTTCAGCGGTCTGTTTGACCACAGCAGAGAACCTACCAGTTTTCACAGCCTATTCCTCTCTAGCAAAACTTCTGGATCCGCTGAGTTGGAGGAGGAGGGGATGGGATCAGCCTTAGGCCATAATGCTATAGATTTCAATAGCTCGTTTGTGAAACTGAGCAGTTTTTTACACATAAACTGTCTCAGCTTGTTGTATGTCTTTGGTCAATTTACAGAACACTAATATGGCTGTTTTTGTCAACTTTGTCCAGTTTTATAGTTGACTTTTAAGGAAAAGATTACCGATCTTCTAAATTGACCATCACCAGAAGTGATGCCTATGTCTAGCAGGATTTTGTTCAAAAGTAGATTAAATCTACCCATAAATTTGGGAAGAATTGACATCTTAACAACACGGCAGTTCCCAATCCATGAATAAGGAATATCTCTTTATTTATTAGGTATTATTTAATCTTCCTTTGTAGTATTTTGTAGTTAACAGGTCCTGCATATTTTATGTTAAATTTTTCCCTACATACTTTTTGATGCTATTATAAGTGGAGTTAATTTTCTTTAGAACTGTTCATGGCAAATTGCTAATATTTTATTAAAGTTTTAGATTCTTGTGAATAGGAAGATTGGTCTGTAGTTTTCTTTTCTTGGGGTGCCTGAGACTGGTTTTAGTAATTCTGGCTTCATAAAAAGAGATGGAAATTGTTCCCTTTTCCTCTATTTTCTAAAACGGTTCATGAATTATTGGTAATATTTCTTTATTAAATGTTAAGTCTTCCTGATGAATTTTCACTTAAAAAAGAAAACTTTGGTAATACTCTTTTGTTTTGAAATCTTTCATTGGATATTAACATAACTCCAATTATCTGGGGCTAACTCTATGCATGCTCTATCTTTTCCCATACTTTCGCTTTTAGGCTATCTGTATCTTTTTGTTTAAAGAATATCTATTGTAGACAGAATATAGTTGGGTCTTGTTTTCTTTATTCTTTAATAACCTGAGCCTTTTTTTTAATTGAAGTGGCTGGTCCATTTATTCTTAATATACTTATTGACATAAGTGGGTTTAGAAATAAGATTTTATTATTTGTTTTAAACTTATTTCTCCTTTTTTGTTCCTCTGTTTTGTCCTTTATTTGATTACCTGAATGTTTATATAGAATTCCATTTCAATACTCCTAATGGTTTTTCTGACATACACCATCCATTACCTTTCTAGTGGTTGCTCTAGTGATTACAGTGTACATGATTAACTTTTTAAAGTTTGTTGACAGTTACTATTATACCATTTTATATAAAATATAGAAAGTTGGCAACTATATACTCCTCCATTTTGTTTCTTTTTTATGCTATAGTTGTGTAATCTACATACATTATAAAGGACACAGGGCAATATTGTGATTTTGGCTTTAAACATTAATATGGTTTATTAAGATATGATAAGAGGTAAAAGGCGGGGGGAAATAGTCTTTTGCTTTTGTACTTGATATTTACCACTTCTGATGCTCTTCACCCTTTTTTATGTAACTGGTATAATTTCCCATCATCGTGAGGAACATCTTTTGGCATTTCTTGTAGTGCAGGTCAGTGAGTGACAAACTCTTTTAGTTTTCTTTTATGAGGATCCAAAATAGCTTGGTTGAGAGGAGTAGATTGAAGAATCTTAAGTCACACTTTATGAAATTGAACTTCTGGAAGAGCTAGAGCAAGAATAGAAGTATAAATAAACAGAAAAAGAGCATTTGAGAGAAAAAGCACTGAAAGACTTCTTAAAACTGAAAACTATGACTTCTGAATTAAAAATTTTAGTACAGTCAGGTACCACATAACAACACTTCCGTCAACGACAGACCACGTATACGACGGTGGTCCCACAAGATTAGTACCATACAGCCTAGGTGTGTAGTAGGCTACGTCATCTAGGTTTGTGTAAGTACTGTAGAGGAGGAAGAAATTGTCCTCTATCCTTCTAGGTTCTTCTGGCTGATCTAAGAATTAAATTGACATGAGACAGATTAATAGGAGAAAAACAAGCAAAAGTTTAATAACATGTACACATGGAAGAAACCCAGAAAAACTAACTCACCAAAATGACTGAAGCCTTCACCTTAAATACCATTTTCAACCTAAAACAAAAGAAGAGGTTGGGGGTGGGAGAGTCAGGGGCCTCAAAGGAAACAAAGGCAATTCACAAGTAGGTGAAAAGAAGCAAACATTTGGAAAACAAGTTTCACAGAAGAAAACAGAGAGGAGCCGCTTTCTACCACCTTTTTCTAGGTGTCTCGCTTTCTACCACCTAGTTCATGTTATGTTAAGGTAATAGCTTACTTTCTGAGACAGGTTTGGGTTTTTTCTCATTTCTTTGAGGAAGATTAGCCTTGAGCTAACATCTGTTGCCAATCCTCCTCTATTTGCTGAGGAAAACAGGCCCTGAGCTAACCTTGGTGCCCATCTTCCTCTACTTTATATGTGGGACGCCGGCCACAGCACGGATTGACAAGTGGTGCATAGGTCTGCACCCAGTATCCGAACTGGTGAACCCTGGCTGCTGAAGTGGAATGTGAGAGCTTAACCACTGCACCACCAGGCCAGCTCCCTGAGACAGGTTTTTTAATCTGAATTCTTTTAGGCAGGTAAGGGGGAGGTAACAAGAAAACCTTCTGAGTATTTTTTTTCTTAAAAATAATCAGCCTAAAATAATCCTCATGTTAAGACACATTCTGGGGTGGCAAATTTTATTCCCCTTCAGTACACTCGATGATATTTGCACCACAACAAAATCACATAATGATGCATTTCTTAAAATGTATTTGCTTCGTTAAGCGACACATAGCTGTATATAAATTGAAATAAAGGTTGGTCTCTGATGAATTAATGATAAGTTTTGGTAAATATTTATATAGAAAAATACCTATATACCAATATATCTATACACCAATATATCTATCTTTATATCTATCTCTATAAAGCTTTCATAGTTATGAACAAACATTCCAAAGGCAGTTTGTTATTTTGTAGGGGAGTAATTTGTTCTCTCTATCAGACCCTTGGAAAAAGAAATCTACACATATATAAATGCAAAAATTAATATTTACATGTATTTATAAAATATGTACATTCAATATTTACATATATATACATAAATTTTTTTATAAGAGTCTTGATAGAACAAATAATCCCTGTAAAAATAGCATACTGCCTTTGGAATGTGTGTTCATAACTATGAGAGCTAGAAGTCAGTGGAATATCATCAGCAGACTACTAAGCTAAAAGGACTGTCACTTCAGAATCCTATAGTCAATCAAGAGTTATTCACCTGACAGAATTTAAAAAAAATTCAAAGATATTCAAAATCTTTGAGAGTATATTACCAAGTGCCCATCTAAGAACAAATATTTCACTCGAACCAGACAGCAAATGAGGCTACAAATCAGGACCTTGAGATGGGGGCAAATCCTGATAAGAGGAAAAAGTAATGAGAAATTAATATACATATATTTAATATATTAAAATATAGGTTTTCTGGAAATATATAATATGAGTTTAAGAAAAACTTTCAAAATGAAAGAGACATATACCAAGGTAATTTCTAAGTTCAGAATTATCCTACAAAACACAGAAATTGAAATATGGGAGTAACAGCAAGAAAGCTCTCCAAATTTCTCACTGAAATGAGGGAAAGAGTAGAGGAGAAGAATGAGAATAGTAAAAGAGAAAATATTCTATGTCGTGAAGGAGATAGGTAAATAATTATAATTAGATAATTAGAAAACTATACTGTGCGGTAGCTATTAAAAAGCAATTTAAAAAGAGATTAATCTCTTCAAGTTTTCAAAAGTAAAAAGGAAATGAAGAGCAACTATGATCAAGCCAGTAAAAATAAGGGATAAAGAAAAACTATCTAAGTAATCTACATAGAGTAGACGCAAGAATTCTTTCTAATACTTTTTTTTACGTTTTATCTTCTAAAATTAGCATATCAGCATGATTAAGATAAAAATTAAAATTAATAATAAAATAGAAAAGTATGTACTTGACTACAATGAAATCTAATAAACTTTTTAAGTAGAAGTTTAAACACACTTTCTCTGTCATAATAGAAATTTTAAAAATAAATAATAAAAGGTGACTGAATTATATTAAATACTTTGAAATTAAAAACATTTTCCTAGATCAAACAATACATGCAAAAAATGCTCATTATCCAAAAACCAATGGATAGAATAATTTGCAAAAAAATTAAAAACTTACAGAATACAGAGAAAGTAGTGTATCAAGAACATTATGATTTAAAATGCATATATTCATAGAGAAAAAAGAAGAAAATTAGATTTTTTTATGATTATCTAATAAAATAGATAAAGTCTTTGCAATCTTGATAATAGAAAAAATAGAGAGCAAAAATAGAAGAGAAATGAGAAAGGAGATAAAGAACCCTTAGAGATGACTACACGTATCTCATTGAAAGAAAGGAAAACTTGCAGAAACTGCATGTTTGCCTGTCTACACATCGCCAAAGTTTCAAAACTGATGTTAGAAAAAATGGAGAATTTGAGTAGGCTAGTCACCACTGTGGTAGTTAGAAAGGTGGTTAAAGTTAGCATGAAAAGATCATAAGGCAGAAGGTTTCAGAGATGAGTTTTATTTAGCCTTTAAAGAACAAATAATTCTAAGATTATTAAAATTATTGCAGATGGAAAGTTCTACATTTGATTTATAAAACTAGCATTAAAAACATACCTGGAGGCCGGCCCCGTGGCCGAGTGATTAACTTCGCGCGCTCCACTTCTGTGGCCCAGTGTTTCGCTGGTTCGGATCCTGGGCACAGACAAGGCACCGCTCATCAGGCCATGCTGAGGCGGCGTCACATAGCACAACCAGAGTCACTCACAACTAGAATACACAACTATGTACAAGGGGGATTTGGGGAGAAAAAGAAGACGAAAAAACAGAACAAAACAAACCTGAAAAGGAAAAATAATACGTAATGTGGGTCAATCTCAATCTCCTTTATTGATAAAGTTATAAAAATTCTAAGTAACACTTAGAAAATGAAATTTTACAATGTATTACAAGAATAAAATGCTATGAGCAAGCAGGGTTTATCTTAAAGAATGCAAGAGGGGTTCAATATCAGGAAATCTACACAATCAATTGCATCATTAAGTTAATGGAGAAAAAATATACGAAGAGATGCTGAAAATACATTTATTAAATCCTACTACATTGCTAACAAAAACTGTAATAAAAGAAAAGAGAACTACTTAAATGTAATAGAAACTACAGAACTAAATGCTACAATTAAAAATACTACAAAAATACTAAAAAAACTACAATAAATAAAAACTACAAAAAAATAAAAATTAAAGACAAATATCTAAAATAGTAATCACTAAAATAATTTTAATAAATTTAGTTAAAATTAGGAAATACGCTGAAATTCCTACAATGATATTACAAATTATCATTGCCTTTGAGGCTTTAGGAAATGCAATATAACAAAAAGTAAAATAAGTGACATAAATGTTTGAAAAGATAGTTTTCTTTCTTCTTCCTTATGATATTATTGCATACCCAGATAATCAAAAAATCTCTATAAAATATTGCAATTCTTAAGAGAATTTCATAACGTGAACACATATAAGATAAATATCCAGAGTGCATAGCTTTGCTAACTCTAGCAATAAGTGCCTAAAAATGAAAATTAAAAATGGTATTCTATTTCCAATGGGGACCAAAAAACCCTCTAAAATATTAAGAAATATATTCACAAGAAAATAGCAATACCTACATGGAAAAACTATGTTGGTTGAAGGACATGAGATGAATCTGAATAAATTGAAAAACATATGTTCTTGAATGGGAAAATCTAATATCTTAGAAGTATCACATTCCCACAGTTACATATAAGTTCAATGAAGTTCTAATGAACAATTCAAAAGACTCATTTGAAAGTACATAAAGTGAGTAGAGTTCACAGTGAATCTTAATTGTCGTAGGAAACATAATGCACTTCTAAATATAAGAAACTGAGAGGAGACTTACCAGCTATTGGAACACACTATGTATCCATCATTCAATGTGGCGTTAGTATAGGAACAGATACACATATCAGGAATTCAGAATTCAGAATTAGATCCTTAATATAGAAAAAAATACAAAAAAATGTGGAAGAAAAGGATAAACTGCCACAATTTGTTGTGTAAAGAAATGATAAATGAATTCCATCTTATATCATATATAAAAATAATTCAAAGTAGATTAAAAGCTTAAATATACAAAATAAAAAGAAATTTCCTTGCAGAAAAGATAAATCCCTACACGTACAGGGGGGTATGAGAGATCTCCCTAGGTAAGACTTCATACCCCAGAAGTTATAAAAGGAAAAGATGATCTATATTTATGTGCTGAATATGGAAAAATTGCACAATTTTATATGACAAAAATGTTAGATAAAAAGTAGATGTGGGCAAAAATACTAATTTTCTCTAGATGCAAAGGGTTAATTTTGATAATAAAACAGTATCCTGACTAATTGACAAGAAAAAGACACAAGACAGAACAATGGACAAAGACCTGAGGAGCAAATCCAAGGAGTCAATCAGCGTCTGAACTGATGCTGAAATTCACCAGAGGTCAGACAAGGAACAATTATAAAGTACGGCAAGATCTATAACCAGTGATGGCGTCGGGAAAAGGTTACCCAGAAACAATGCAGTAAGAAACATAAAGAGTTATAGATTTCCTATTAAAATTTATACTATCTAGACTTCAATTCAGAAATTTCTTTCCTGTGAATCCATTCCATGGAAAGTTAAGCACCAAGTTGGGAGGACATATAAAAGGACGTTTATTTCAGCCTTGCTCATCATGGCCAAGAATTGGAACTGTCAATAAGGGAAAATTGAATAGATTGGGACACGTGCATGAGATGGAACATCAATCAGTCTTTACAAAAAAAAACAAAAGTAAGAAAAGCAAGGAGAAGAAAACTTAGGTGCTATGACCTAACATTTCCAAAACTGGACCCAAAATTACAGGTATGATTACATATCTACATGATTAAATTTCATGTCCTAATGTCCTTAGAAGGAGGTAGACACTGTGGTACTGATAAAAGGGAAGGCCTTACATCCTCCAAAAGAAAAAAAATCAAAATAACAAGAACAGCATGAGTATTATGACTCCATTTGTGGTATCTGCACGTTGCACGCCTCCAGGGCTAAACCATCCCCATAAAATACAATGCGGGTGGCCTTCCTACTCCTGTAAAATTGTATTTATTTGTGCATGTATGTACAATACAAAGCACAAATGGATAGTCCTTGAAAAGTTAACAGTTATCTTTATCTCAGGGTTGGAGATTCCAAGTGGCCTTTATTTGTTTCTTTATATAATATGTATGATTATTTGATTCCTTTTAAATGAGCGTCTATTATTCATATCTTAAGCAAAAAAAAAAAAATACAACTATTTTTATTGGGGAGTGGAGAAGAAATGGCAGCTGCCATAGTTACGTATCTGAAATTTAGCCCTTTCCTCTAACAGGTATCAATTTACTCTCAAATCACTTAAGGATGCTTTTGTTTTCTCATTCTGGAGTTCAAAATTACGGCCCCTGTACCTCACTCTCTTGACGGTCTCTCTCTTAAAAAGAATTTTGTCTTTCAAGAATGGTTGTTGGCACTATTTGAAATTCTGTATTTGGTGTTCTCCCCATCTAGTTGGACAAACTCCCTGCGGGTACCCCCTCTGTTGACACCTCTAGACCAGCCATGTATAAATGTAAGAGGACAACTTCATCTCATTGATTTCTAATTTAGTGTTGCAATTTTGGTTCTACTGATATAACCACTAAATTGAAAATACCAATGATCATGTCTGTTTGGGGAAAATATGCAATTTTAGGTTAACCTTCATTATTTAGAGCCCTAATATTGTCAGGGTATATGACTCACATCTCTATTGCTAAACAAATAACCCTTCATTAAATCTAGAGTGAGCAGTTCCATGCAATCAAGGCTGCAAAGAATTTTTTTAGTTGGCTCTTTTTGTTGTTGTTTAATAACACATTTGTGGCGAGTCTTACTGTTCAAAACATCTTCATGAGATATTATTTTAAGCAAAAGATTGATTGTAATATGGTTATCTAAGTTATCTAGCCATTAGATCTATTTAAAAATTTTGCACAGAGAATACTGTTTTAGCAAAATTAAATAGAGAAAATTATGGCAAAACATGCAGCAATAATTTATTTTGCAAAACAAAAAGCGTCTAACTGCTCTCTAATTACTAGCCTTTGAGGCATTTACAGCTAAATTAAAATGATCGTTAGCTGTTAAGTGTATTTGCTTTGATTAGTTCCTGTTTTATGAGGTTTTAGGCAGAAGTAATTTTGTGGTATTGTTATTAATGAATTTAATGTTAAGTGGGAAAAAAAACCTTCTGTTATCTAAATATCAACTCTGGAATTAGCAGTTTAAATTTTGTCAAAAGTTACAGGGATCCTCCCTAATATATTTACCAGGTATTGAAATTTATTATAGTCTAAGGAAAAGGTATCTTCAAAGCTAGTGTAATAGAAAAAAAGCAAAGAAAGCCTTAGTCCCTTAACCACTATAGCCCAATAATATAGTTACATAGTGGAAGGTATGGACAGTCCTGTTCAAAACGATGTTTCATCACTCTTCATTTAGACCAGTACATTAGCTGACTTACACTCAAAATTCCTTGTCTACTAAAATGGAGATACTAATGTCTTTCCGAAAGAATGGTTTTAAGGATTGACTAAAATATTGGGTATTAAGTAAACAGGATAGTGTCTGGCATGTCCACTCAGTAAGAGTTAGTCTTTCCCTTTCCTTTCCACACGATCCAATGTGTGGAACTGTATTAGAAAAACAATTCCAAGTATCTATCCAAAGATAAACTAAGGGATTTAGCATATATGTGTTATTAAAGCACTTGAATTTTGGAGACAGAAATAAGATGAGCGTATGTGAGCTTCCTATTTTAAACAGATAGTGACAGAAAAAAGTGTATCTTTAATGGATTATTGAAAATTTTCTGTCAATGGGAAAATGGTTCTTCTCAGACATCATCATTCTATGATTTCTGAGGGCACTTGCAAATGTATGAATTCTTGTCTGTTTCATTTGCCACCAAAATCCGGTGATTAAATGTAATTATTCCAAGGGTCCAGATGTTAAGGGCTATGTGGAGGAAGTTGAAACAGAAAGGAAAAACAGAGAAAGGAATTAGGAGGTGGCCGGGATTGCATTCTTGCATTTATATGGCTCCAGCACCACTCATGCCATGCTCCGCAAATGCAGTGCCTGCAACTCTTGCAAGACACCCCTATGTTTTCCAAGATTAATACTCAGAATGTTGATATTGTATTGGATATTTATAATTTATCCGAAAAATATTTACAGCTTGAAAAATTAAATCTAAACCGTTGCTATGATATATGGAAAACACATGGATCTCTGTGTATGGCAATGGGATGAAATTTGGGCCCTACAACATTCTTTGACTTGGAGTCATTTGACCTCTTTGAAAGCTGTTGCATGCTTAATTATAAAGTGGGGATAATCATTCTTACTTCCCAAAGTTTGACTCAAAGAAAAAGATAAGAAAAAAAAAATAATGCTCTATTTATGTTACTGTTATTCTCTCCTACTTACTGGTGAAAGAATTACATGATCAGAAAATGACCATAACAGAATTATGGGTAAGAATGAGTCTCAATATTTCACCATGAATGATGAATTATTATTCGTATTTAAAGTATGAATCAGGATACAAAAGGTCCCTGCAAGTTCCATAGGACCAGCACTTATTTGCACCTGGCCAGTGTACAATGAATGAATGACAGGTGGAAAGCATTTTATGGCCCTATTGCCATTCACTCTTATATGACACCACTGCCTTTTGGATGAGGAATGTTAAGGAGCAGCTGTCCATTATAAGCTCTATGCAGATTTTATATTAGGCTCTTTTTTCCTAAAGTTTTTGTTTGTTTGTTTGTTTGTTTAGAAGAACACAAGCATTTAAGGTGTTGGGGGGCACGCAGATTGGTGTGAGCGATGTGTTAGTGAGAGGAATGGTTAGCGGAGCTGATTCGCATGCTGTCGACTACTGCTGGGGAGAGTTTGCTCTGGTATAACTCAAGAATCACATTTGAGAAATCTCAAGTTATTAAATATTTGAGCCACAAAAGCAATTTTAATGGAAAAAACAGATCTGGACTGGAGAGCAACAGACTTACAATAATAAAGTTATTTTTCCTCCAGGAATGTTTGATAATAATGATTTTAAAAAAGTTATAAGTATATAGCTATAAAACCCTAAATATCACTGAGATAATCCACCATTTGATTAGTAATTCCAAGAGTTTGTTAAATTGCAATCCATTCCGCCAGCATGAGGATTAGCTCAGTGATTTTTATATAAATTCATTACATGTTTACCACCCATTTTCATAATGGAGCATAAAATTGAAATAAGACAGCGAAAAGGCACCAAATCAAAATAAATTGCAGAACACTTCACAACAGAGTGTGATAAGCAAAAGATCACAATGCCTACCAGGGTCTGGCACCTGAGATGAAGCAAACACTGCTGCCTAATGAAAAGGACCCAAGGCAACCTTAGTTATCCAGTCAGGATCCTGCCCCAAAGCGGTGTCATTAATAAATGCTCAATTCACAGGGCCGGATCTGTGGCCGAGGGGTTAAGTCTGCGAGCTCCTCTGTGGTGGCCCAGGGTTTGGATCCTGGGCGCGAACATGGCGCCGCTCTTCAGGCCACGTTGAGGCGGCGTCCCACGTCCCACAACTAAAAGGATCAGCAACTAGGATATGCTCAATTCACATTTTCACACAACTACCCAAGTCACACTTTAAACACTTATTTTATAGAAGAAACTCTGTTATTGACCAGCCTTCATCAATATTCATGTATGTGAGTTGCTGGACTCAAAAACCAAAATCTGGATATGCTGAAGTATTTCTTATAGTTTCCTTGCAAAAGTTCTTCTTCTTTAAGGATTTAATTTTATTAATCTATGGATGAAGAGACTTGGCTCTGATTGGTTTATTACTTCAGTTCTAAAGTTTTAAAGAAAACTATGACAAATGCAGTACTATGAGTTAAATGACATTTTTAAATCCATGGCTCTCTTTTGCCAGTAAATTAACAGTGATATAACACTTGATGATTATAATTATGATCATGAGTCTCTGAAAATCTGGAGGAGTATTTTGAATCAACCAAAGAGAAAACCCTGAATTTTATCAATAATAATGCTTTGAGAATTGATATTTCATGTAAGATTCTGGTTTTCTAACTCTTCAAGAAAGTACTACACTATCTAAGTATGCGGAGAAAATTTACTTTAATTTCCTAACTAACTCATTTCTTGCCTCCAATCTACCCTAAAGAACAGTAACAACCATCAGGCTTTCCTTAGCCATTAAGACAAGGACATGAAAATTAAGCAACTCTTGGCAATTATTCTAAATAGTCATTCACGTGAGTAAAGAATGAGCAGAAATGAGACGTTACATTCTGCTGATATTGTGTTTCCTAGACATAAAACACAAATGGACACATGCAATATTGCAAAAATTAATCACCATAAATAGTACTGTATTTTATCTTAATCACTTCCTACATCTGAATGACTTTGTTACTCTTGGTTTTGCCTCAACGTTTTTCAACTCCAGAAGGAAATGCTGTCCTCAACACTAATATGAAATCCAAGACGATCTTATATCATTATATTGTAGGGCAGAATTAGACACATAGACAACATGTTAATGACAATATATACTGGAGATTTAGAAACAAAAATTTTAGATTACTTAGAAGTATTTAAAATGTAAAACTATAACGCATCCTGTAATGAAAGTATATTTGTTAAATTAATAAGGAAACAGTCATAGTCCAATAACTATGTTTTTGTTTTATTTAATTGGAATAAGAATCAAGATTCAATGAGTAATTTTTAAAATTAGCATTGTTTTTACCTAATGTATTTTTCTTTAGTTCTATTTTTTATTAGTGCAAATTATTGTGGCAAAACACTACTGACTTTTAAGTGTAGTTTGCATAGAATGAGATATGCCTCATATATCTGTAAAATTCTGTATCTTTAAAAAAATTGCAAAGCTTATATAGTGATAATAGGCAGTCTTTGTTTTCCATGTACCATCTTGCTTTAGTTTCCCAAGAATTCTATGAGGTTGGTAGTATTACTATCACCCCCATTTTAAAGATGAGATATCTGTGACTCAGAGAATTTTAGTCAATTGTCAGTTTTATCTGAGCAAGCAACTTGTAGAGCTGGGGTTTAAAACCACACTGTGCATTTGCAGGTATAACGCCTACCAATCAAAATTCTTATGCCTCCCCTTTATTCTTTTTTTCCTTCATCTTATTTAATTGTATGTTTTTTTAAGGATAGAAAAGTAGAAAAGTAGTATAATATCTACCTATTTTATCTCCAACTCTGATTTCATAGATTTTGTTTCAGATCCTGCTTTTGTTGTTGTTGTTCTTGTTTTGTTGTTTCCCCTTCTTTTGCTGAGGAAGATTAGCCCTGAGCTAACATCTGTGCCAGTCTTCTTCTGTTTTGGATGTGGGTAACTGCATCAGCATGGCTGAGGAGTGGTGGAGGTCCGTACCTGGGATCCAAACCTGGGAACCCAAGCCGCTGAAGCAGAGCATGCTGAACTGAACCACTACGCCACGGGGCTGGCTCCTGTTGTTCCCCTTTTGGAAGAAAAATATAATAAATGGAGCTAAATCAAGCAGCAAGATGACTTGCTTACCTCTTGCCTTTCTGTGCCCACAGCCACAATCCTCTGCCAGTTCCCTAGACCCTGACTCCCGCACTCCAGCAACAAACTCACATGCGATCTCTCCCGCTCTAGCCTCTCTTTAATCCAGTCTATTGCTTACAACTGGTGTGACAATGTTCTCAAAACATTGCATTCTTCTTGTCAGCCTCCTTTTCCAGAATAGACAGAGCCTCAGTGTTATCTATTTTATCAAAAATGTAGCACTCAAAGCCCCATGTCACCAGGGCCTCTTTTTAACCCTTCTCCTGGATAGGCCCTTCTTTTCTGTAAGTTCTAGTGTCTCCTTATACCTTACAACTTCCCATGGCTTCATCTGGTTTTGTGTTTGGCATTGTGGTCATGGTTTGGACCAAGCCCTGCTCTGAATTTCGTTGCCAATTTTGTTAACATTCTACCTCTTCTAGTCGGTATAGTCCACTTAACTACATTTCCTTCTCCTTTGGGCAGGGCTTTACTACTCAGGAATTCATTTGTAAAAATACCATTTCACATTTTTCTTGGTTCTCATATCTCTTAGTTCAAGATGGTGGCCTGAGAACAGTTCATATGCCTCCTGGCTCTTACAAAGCCCCGTTGAAGGAAAAATAAAGGTGTGATAAAAGTGAATAAATCCACAATAGCAAGAAAATAAGAGTGAAAGCCAACAGTGAACTAAAGTTATTAATACAATTCTGGAAGACAAGAAACAGACATGTGTGTGGTGACAGATGAAACAAAGCAGAAATAACCACAAGCCAGAATAAACAGAGGATCAGTTTAGAAAGTGATATCTGGGACAATTTTATTGGGGGCTCAGCAGGAACTCACAAGGGGCACCAGCCAGTGAGGCAAAAAAATGATGTCATTGTTTGACAACATCCGTGATGTCTCAGTCCACCCAAGGCCCCATAAAAGTAGCATGACTGAGCTTGAAGTTTGTACCATGCGAAGAAAACTAGAGGCCCCTCTAAAATAAATGAATCGATCTGCCTAGGAATAGCTAGGATTCTGGTGTGACTTTATAGTAATTGAACATGCCAGGGTAAAGGCCTTTTTATTCTGATTTGAGGTGCCTGTGCCTGCTGTAGTTTGCTAGAGTAAAATGAGCAATCAACATATTCACACATGTACCCAAAGAGTCAAAGATTTTATAGCCATAGAATAAGAACAAACATTTATGAAAAAAGGAAAAATCATAGAAAAAGAAAAAGGTCTTCGAAATTAAAAATATGACTGCCAAGAATTAAAAGTGGTACAGTAGTGACTGAGATTTGAATAAAACTGTCTCCTAGATTTTAAACACAAAAATTCAGACTGAAAATAGAAAAGGAACTTGAGTGCTGTGAGGGAGGCTGAGTGAAAATGGAATTGAGACAAGTATAAAAGAAATGAGTTGAAGGTCTTCAGAATAAAAGTCTTCTATACAGCTAATTCAAATTAGAATTAAATGCAGATTAAATAGAATTAAAATCAAAATCCATCCTTAGAAGGATTTTTGTGAAACTTCAGATCTCCAGGGATATAAAGAAGATTCTAAAAGCCTTCTGAAAGGAAAAAAATAACTAAATAAATATTTTCTTAGGAAGAATATTCAAATAGGCAACAAAGTTCTCATCATCCACACTTGATGCTAGAAGAATCTCGAGTAATTCTTCCATGGAAAGAGAAGATTCTGCTTGTAGCCCTCACCTGAGCCCCCAGTCTTAGTTATTTATACTATTTATGGGACTGTATACGTGGTTGATTCTTGTTAAGTTGACCAAAGGATATGAAGATGAATGAGAAATCCTTCCAGCCAGAGGTAACCCTGTAGCTCTTCTACCTATTATATCATTGTATTTCTTAGTAGGTTCTGGAATATCCCTCCATTTCTGCACCACCAATTTCTTCCGTTCTGACAACTTTTTCAAAATTTAGCAATGTACCCTGAGTATCTTCTTCTTTTATCACATGGAGATTAACCTCATCCTTCTTTTAATTTATTTATTGAGATGTGATTCCTACACCATCTATGATTCACCCATTTATAGTGTAAATTTAAAGTGTACAATTCAATGAGTTTTAGCATAATCAATCACAAATATGTGCAATCATTACTCTAGTCCATTTTAGAACATTTTTGTGACCTCAAAAAGAAATCCTGTATCATTTAACAGCCCCTTATTGTGTACTTTCCCCTAACCCACCCCTAAGCAAACACTTTTCTACTTTCTATCTCTATAGATTTCCCTATTTTGGATTTTCATATGAATGGGATCATATAATATGTGGACTTTTGTGACTGGTTTCTTTCACTAAGCATATTGTTTCCAAGTTTGATCCTAGTTGTAATATGTATCAACATTTCATTCCTTTTTACGGCTACATACTACATTGTGTGAAATGCCACATTTTGTTTATCTATCCATCCATCTGTTGATCAACATTTGGATTATTTCCTCTTTTTGGCTATTATGGATAATGCAGCTATAAACATTCATATACAAGTCTTTGTGTGGACGTATGTTTTCATTTCTCTTGGTATATATCTAGGAATGAAATTGTTGGGTCATGTGGTAACTCTACATTTAATCATTTGAGGAACTGTCAGTCTGTTTTGCAAAGCAGTTACATCATTTTACATTCCCATTCCCATTGACATTTTACTTTTACATTACAGCAGGGTCAGAGTATGAGGGCTCCCATTTCTCTAGATTCATGAAGGACATATCTTGAGACCTTCTTGAATCTGTAAGTTTCTACATGCAGAAATGCTGAATTCTCTTGACTCTTCCTCAAATCACATTTCGGCATGGCATCTTGCATTTGTTGGACATATCATTAGCTCCGAAGTTAATTACCTGTCAATAAATTGTTATTCATCACTAGATGAGAAAATTTACACTGGTTGGACAATCATTGTCGTTTTTATTAATTGCCTTAAAAATGTATGTAGAACATATGTGGGAGACTCACTCATGTCATACATCAGATTAATTTAAAGAATGAATTATCAAAATATTTTCTTGTGACAATCATCATGATGTTCTCAGACCTTTTAGTGGCACTTTACTTCCAACACCACCCTGGTCACTTTTCACTGATACACACATACACTATAACAAAAGTTACCTTGTATTTGCACATCAAGGATTATAGAATCAAAAAGCTACATGGAGATATGGATTCTGGTTGATCAGGTTTGCTCACTCACTCTTATCCATTAAGTGATTTGCATCTCAACGGCAGTCTTAGAACATAGGCAATTCAAATTTTTCAGTTGGCAAAACTCCTAATGAGTTCATGTCATGGGCTTTTGAATTTTCTCTAAAATAGTCAAAATTATGGATGCTAACTCTTCACTCTAAGGATCTCCTGAATAAAATCTAGGAATAGTGAACAATAACACTGCCTTACTTTCTATCATTCAGAGACATTTAGTAAGTGGAGTTTTTCCAGGGGATGGTGAGGGTCTCAAAATCAAGAGAAATAGTTGAAAACTCTGAGATTAGGTAATGCAAAGAGATTTGATGACTGGCTTCAAATAACAAAAGTACTTTCATATGGAAAAAAGATTACGTCTTGTTAGTTTAACCACAGAGGGTAGAACTAGGGCAAATGAATATAACTTTCAGAGGATTCAGTTCAGAGAAGTACTTTACAAAAATTAGAACTGAACATTCTTGGAATGGGATCTGGTAATAGGCAGTGAATTCTACAGACTTGGACCTATTCAAGTCGAAGCTGGTCAAGCCCTTCATCAGATAACGCGGTGGTGCTGATGAGGTGTTAGAATAGATATTCTTCCAGGTTTTTCTCGTACCACAGATTCTGTTCTGAGTTCATACATGCTATAAAACATTGAGGGCTTAATTTAATAATTACCAGAGGGCTGGATGTTATTCTTTTGTAATGACATTAAAATATTACTGTAGCAAGAAATATTAGAATTTGTAATCTAATCTTCTGGCTCTTTCTGACTTGAGGATGTTATTGGCGGGGGGAGGGGGCAATTCTGCTATTTGTCATTCTAGAGAAGCAAAATTGAGCTATAATTGTCTTAAAGTGTTTTTGCAAAGTATAATTTTCTCAAGATGTTCATCATATAATTAAATTGATTTTACAAAATATATAGTATATGTTAACTGTATCAACAAATGAAATGGCATTCTAGTCTGACAGTCTCACATAAAAATACACATCTCAAACTTACAAACTCTTTTAAAATATGGTAAATAATATAATTCACTAAAAATCACCTTATAAAAATTTAAAATTTTTCATTCAAATTATGCTTTCATATATAAGATGATCACTCATTTTATATTATTTTATTTTACTTGCCTTGTACTAAATATACAGATTACTACATTATTAAAGGGCTAGTCTCTTTTTTTTTGTCCTAAAGTTTTAGTATATAGAGAATAAGTAATTTAAAAACAATAATAATCTTTAAAAATTTTCCTTTAGAACGCTATGGTTATACACCTAGAAACAGATCATAGATATTATATTGGTATTTTCAAGACACAGATACCACATTTCCAGAAAACTAAGGCCCCCTAATGATCTGTCTGTAAATTATATATGACAAATGGTGAAGAAAAAGAGAAGAAAGAAGATGAGTTTTTACATTCAAATCCATGGTACAACACTCAGGTAACTGTAGGTTAGGTAACAGGTGACTCAGACAAGTCACATATATCTCTGGGCTTCAGTGTCTTCAACTGTAATATGAGTATAATGGTACTCACCATATACGGTTGTCCTAATTATCATAGGTTTTATATA